GTTTGAAAATCCGGGCTTGAATAAATGCGGAGAAAAAAAAAAGTTAAAACTTAGGCAGTATGGCTCAATGTGCCGTCGTCTGTGCGATTTTCTATTTCAAAATAACGACGTCAATACGTCGTGATAAATAATTTAGGTCAACCATCCCCATAGGGGCCAGTAGCCACAGCACATTTTGGGGGAGAGCTGCCTGAAATGCCAATTTTGCGAAATCCACAAACAACGCTTCAGATTGAGCAGGTGTTTCTGACTTTTTTTCTTGAAGGCAAGTTTGCTTTTTCCTAAAACAAAGACCGGTTCCGTTTTTCGGGGCATTGAGGCAGCAAGATGCATTTTTCTGGTCAAAATTAAAAACTGTCACCGGACACGGTCGGCCGTTCTTATCTGAAGACGGAGTCGTCTTAGAGAAAACTGCCGCGGCATAACATAACACAACTGCGTGTATATTTGACAAACAAATATCAGTAAGCTAGGTGGCGTCTGTACGTTTTATTTATGTAGAATACGCATGCACCATCACATTTTATTGCGTTCTTTTAGTGGGTAGAGGAAAATCGGACCCTTCACGTAACATATTTTAGTAGCTTTACTTTTTCGAGTACAAAAGAGGGATCTTAGTAGTCGAGGAGAAGTAATCAAACTTAGGAACGACTATAGAGACACGACAAGAAATGTAGAAACGAAAACTGGTGGTCAGTCAAGTGCAAAACAAGCACCCAGGAGACTTTATTCACATTGCGCGGTCGCATTTTAATATTGCAATTATGAAATTCATCTAAATTTGGAAAATAGACGCAAGTGGAAACGTTCTCAATTGAAAGAACGCATGTTCTTCCTGTCCTCACTCAGAATACTGTAGCGGGACTTCGTCCTTCCTCCAAAACACCAACACAGTGAAGACGATAACGAGTTGATGTTTGAAATGCCTGTGCATAGAATGATAACATCATGTCCCTTGATTGCAGATTAGCGCAGTCTTCAGGCACGAAACCGCCCAAGTTGAAGCACTGGAGGCGGTCACAAACTGGAGTCGATAAGACTGTTTGCCGAGCCGACCAAGTCTTGCGCTAGAATGTATAAATAGCAGATTGGTTAAAAGCAGAGTCAATAATTATGTTCAATGCAGGACACCAAGTAACAGTTGCGAGCTTTCATGAAAATTTCAAACTAGCTAATGATAGCGACGTACTTCGTCCCTCGAACACATCCGAATCTTGAAGCAATCTGTTTACAATAGATGTTATACGTTTATTCAGTGTGTGGTTCGCACCAACCTGAAGTACACAAAGTGACTCTGAGTTGATCGTGGCAATCGCACGATTTTGATCAAGTGAAAATGTACATCACTTGCGACAGAAATCATAACTGAGTGGAGACGTCATAAAAAAAAGTTCTTACCTCTTGATTTTGCTTCTCTTCGGGAAGGCTAGCCGACTGACATATCGCGACTGAAAAGTCTAGGCCTTCTCAACCAATAACGACCAAAACAAAGCGGTCGTGCGCGAACAGCCGTCACCGCCGGACGGACAACATATCGGCGTTCAGAGTTCTGCGAATCCTCCGGAGAAGTCACTCCCCGCGAACATTCACCGACCGCACTCCTCACCCCTCTAGCCCCTCAGGGCGACTGCCGACCGCGGCCCGCCCGCCGCCGCCGCCGTGAGCGACTCGGCACGAGCCTCACAAACCCGCCAATCCGCTGCGAGCATCGAATGCGACGTCATCACGTGTCGTTTACGTCACCCTACCGAAGGAGACGTGAAGCGCCGTCCGCGAATTCCTCGGGGCACGGAAGCACTGTGAAGGCTGTCACTAGCGGCGTTTTGGTTGCGTTTCGACTACACTGAAGGAAATGCAACTGTAACGAACCAAAATGTGGTTTACGTTCTTTCCCGAGGAGTTTTAAGGGACACGAGCTCTCATTTCGCTGCTAGACCCAGATACGTTACGCACTCATTCGCCTCGGAGGGAGAGCGCCTTTTCACGCCTTCGACGCGCGCGCCATCTGGAATCTTGAAAAGTTCCTATCGGAGATGAAAATCGAGGAGCGCTCCCTCTTAAGGATAAATTGGCTCTCACCTAAAATGGAGCGCTTCTCACGCCTTTTAGGCGACTGGTGACCGGTAACAGAAAATCCGCCATTATATAAAATCATTAATGTCTGTTCTCACCCCTATGGTGGTTATGATCGAGACTGAAGGCGACTGTTAACATCCGTTTGCTATACTGGCTGCTAGGCTAATTTCTGGCGGCTTATCAGTCGGTAGAGCGCTCCGCTTGTCTGGGCGGTACGAATATTAAATTCCGCACCAGGCGGATTTCTTTTTTCAGTGACCAGGCGTCGCTAGACCATTTCAGGTCGAGGTCAAGTTATTTTTACGTCTACTCTGTTACGTCACGGCGCGGTGGTGGCCCGTCGAGCGCATTTCCAGTCTGGGACTGTGGCCGGAGGTCACCACGCGGGACGTGCATTTGTGCGTTGTTTAAAAAAAACAAAAAAAAAAAAAAACAGGCAAAACACTGCTTCCTTGTCAAAACGCCGCCACTGGGGCTGTACCAAAAAAAGTCGAGAAAGGTTTGAAAATCAGTTTTCATGCGCTCGGTTCGTTGGAGAACGTAAATATGTGCCTTAAAAAAAAAAAAAAAAAAAAAAAAAAAAAAAAAACAGACGCCGTCAGACCACGATTGCTTGGGCGGGAAGCACTTTGAGTTGAATTTACGGATATTTCTGGTAATCACACTTATTTGTTTTGTTCCAACATCAACGCGGGAAAACCGTCAAGTTGCACGGACCACCTACGGACTATGTTAAGTGCGTCTTCAAGTTCAAACATCCGCCTGATCGTTCCCAACTGTCGCCTGCTCTTTTAAACGTCTCTGATTGTCGTCTGCTCTTTCAGACGACATCGGCCCGTAGACCGAACATTGGCCCGGTAATTGCGATAAGATGTAAGTGCAGGCCTCAACGGACTTTTAAGTTTGAAGGTTGGTTAAGGTAAGGGGGTTGGGTGTAAACAGTGAATACAAGGAGATGCTGACCATTGTTACCAATGACCATCACCGACTTGTTATGCCTGATTCACTTGGTCCGATTCCGCTAGCCATTTTCAGTATCTACGTCGGCCATATCAGCTACCGCTCACGCTTCTGCAGCCCTAGCTACGTTGTGACTGAAAATTGCGAGCGGAATCTCATCATGCGAATCAGGCTTTAGCATCCATCCTGCGGCGTCTGCGCGGAATAAATCGCCGCGTGCAATTTTATTCCCGCAAAGTTATGCGCCTTCGTTAATTTTACTGAAGCCGCTAAAGCAGTCAGACATTGCCAGGAAAAATGAGGTCAACACTTCGAACGCGACAGAGAGCACGCGGACTCACATCGACGCCGACAATATCGCATTTCAATGTTTTTCTTATGGGTGACGGCGAGCTTCTTGCCCACACTACATCGCGCATGTGCGGCGCCGGTGGCGTCCGCTAGGGGCGCTCCGGTTTATTAGTAAACATGAGTTGGTCTATATCGAGTGCGTGCAATGCCCCTGTCACACATAACATTTATCCACTGGCATTTTGAGAAATCGGCTAATCAGGGCGCGCCATCCCTGGTGCAGGGCGTTTCACGCGCGATGCTTGTAGTCAGGGAATGAGCTGATTACCGATCACACTAGTGTTACAATGAACTATACTTCGTTTGACCTTAGGTCCGAGCGCGGCCGATGTTATGAGCCGACGGGCCAATCAAACACCGTAAAAAGCGCACCGTCATGGCGTGCTCTATGTGTTTGACTAGCCGGCGGAGGAGCAGTGCACAGATAGACGGCGAGTACCGGGTGGTCCTATATCAACTAAAGAAATCACGCCATGACGTTGTGCCTCTTTCGCTGTTTGATTGGCCCTTTGGTTCATAACATCGGCCGTGCTCGGACCTAAGCTGAAACGAGGTATAGAATATTGAGTAATGGAAAAATCGACCGCCACCGCGTGAGGCACATTGTGTTGAACCTACCAGGTGATGCTAGCGCTCTTTTCCCGAACACTTCTTCGCCTTGCTCGCATACGAGAACCACGAGCCGCAGGCCTGTGCCAATGGTTTCTTTTTTTTCCCCATTTTAGCGGGCACAGCATATACGGCAAAGCACGGGACGAGCGGTGCGAGCTCATCGGGATTTCAAGGCTAGCGCCAAGCGCGGCTTTCAACACTTTTTGGCTTCACACGGCCGATGGGGCACCGTCGATTATTTTCGACTACTTCCAATGCTACTTAATTGTACCAGCCTCATTTGATCGGGATATCATTAAAGCTCAAACATATATTAGAAAAAATCGCGTCGCTCCGCCGACTGGTGTAATCCTAGCGACCGCCGCTGATTTTCTGACTTGGTCGAATGCCGTGCCGCCACGTCATAGCGTTAGCGGCGTTTACAATGCCACTGAGAGGCGCGACGCGAGGAGCTTTTTCTTTTGTCTCATATGTGTTCCACGCTTTAAATTTACCATGTGGCCAGCGTCATAGGGGGTATTCACACGGTAGAAATCCCCCGTTTTATTGTTTGCTGTTGTTGAAGCCTACTTTATTTCACTAGTACACACCTGGATTAGCGACCTCATTTGGTCTGGAGTGTGGGGCATGCCAACGTGGTGTGACTTGTAAACTTGTGTTCACATCAAATTTGAGGCTGTCATGTTAATCTTCGGAATAGTCACGTGCGCCACACAGCTCGTGATAACAAAATGGTGGACGCAATTACGCCGGTGAATAAACTCCCTAACCGTAACGCTGAAATTGACCGGAATTGCTGGTTTCACTCCTGAGCGCCTGACGATGCACCGGACCATCTCGGCCCTGATATACGCATACCATCATAGGCTCTGCTGATGGACGATCCGCATAGCTGTCACACGGACTGCTATTAAATAAATTTTTGACACACGCGTAGCACTTATTAATGTGTTTTTTTAGCTTACTGAGCCACAGCTGTGTGATGCTCTGATGTTTTGCAGTACCCGATATCATCAGGAAGACCAGCGCTGTTGACGGCCACATAGTCGAGCTTGAACTTTGGGTAATTATATTCAGAATTATCTTCACAAACAAAAAAGTTTGTATAATTAAAGAGCACCGTTGATAATAAAATATAGACTACACATTCGCGCGCCTTCGGGCTAATGTTCGTGAAGCATTCCTGAACCTAAGCACTCAACCAAGTTAGGCGGCTACGCTTAACGTTCTTCTACGTCGACCCCGTTTGAAGCAACAAAGCGTGGTGGCTCGCAAGAAATATCCTGATTTAAAGTATTGCTAGATATGTCTGACTTTGATAGGGCTACAGGGAGTGTTCATAGGTGGCCATAGCTGTCTGTGTGTCTGCTGAGCGCGTGCTGACGGCAAGCTTCTCAAGTTGCTTTGCAACGTTTATTCCCCACCATCAAGATTGTCTGTCTTACAAGGCTATTAATGTAAGCTCGTTCCGAGTATGCGCTCTAAACATCGCACATAAATATGGCCTCCAGTGAATATCCCCTATACTCTGTTTCAAACTTAGTGTACATTAGAGCCGCTGTATATGGCTGCCATGTCTAGTGGCTCTAGTGTACATCGCTGTCAAAGCTGCTGGTGCGAGCTTGCGCTTTGATCACGCAGATTACTTGCACGTGTTCTCCCGCAATCGAAGCCACAGATGAAGTGACGCGCTCGCGTCAGTAGCTTTGACAGCGTTGTAAACAAAGTGTGAAACGGGGTATCGCACAGAAGCCCATGTCGTCGTCTTATTTTTACAGCGAAGCTGTTATGTGTAATCTCTGTTTCAACTTATGATGCACCGCAGGAAAGGCTACAGGCGCGAGCTCCTTGCTCTACGGCACATCTCGGCGGCACAAGCAGCTCCCAACGCTATGGGCTCGCGCTTCTAGCCTTCTCTGCGGTACAACATAAGGTGAAACGGGGTATAGGGTCTGGGAGAAATTGGGCCCATAGATGTTAACAAAAAGTGAAAGCCGTTCACAACTCCCTGTAACGCCGAATTGTAGCGCAGCTCTTGAGGAGGAGGAGGGGAGGGTACTGAGGGGAGGGTAGACCCCTCCTCCTCCTCCTCCTCCCCCTGCTCCTCATCCTCCCCTCATTCTTTAATATGTTCCGGGGGGGTCACCTGACCTCGGGGGAGGGGTCACGTGACCCCGGGGGGGGGGGGTGTCACGTGACTTCGGCGGGGGGGGGGGGAGGGGGGGGTCCCGTGATCTCGGGGAGTGGGGCCACGTGACCTCGGGTGGTCATGTGACCTGGGGTGTCACGTGGGCTCACCTTGGGGGGTCACGTGACCTTGAGGTGACCTTGGCAGGGGCCACGTGACCTCGGGGGTCACGCGACCTTGAGGTGACCTGAGGGGTCACGTGACCACGTGACCTCGGGGGGTCACGTGACCTTTGGGGGTCACATGACCTGCGGGTCACGTGACCTTGGGGTGACCTTGGTTTGGTCACCCCAAGGTCACGGGTTTGTCGTTAAAGTTTGTCGGATGATCGGGATAACAAGCGTTAGTCGGTGGATGCCTTGTATTTGTTTCGAATTATATAGCCTCATAGGCCAGTGGTTCTCAAATGGGGGTCCGCGAAGGCATCCTATTGGCCCGAGAAGCCCTGCCTTATCAGTCAAGCCCGGCAATAAAAGTTGTAGTTTTTTTTTTTTCAGGTGGAAAAGAAGTGTTTCAGTTTTCGGGCGAGTTTTTTTCGTGTGAACGTCAATAAGAGAGGTCTACTTCACACTAGCCCTTAGTTATATCCATGTATTAAATAATCATTATATTTAACCTATACCTTTCCTCTCCTCTTACCACGAACGGGGTCCTCCATCATCTCCGCCGATCCACAAGGGGTCCGCGAAACACCGATGGTTGAGAACCACTGTCCTAGGCTGTACCCAACGTTATTAGGTTAGCTCAGTTACGGAACTGCTCATAGACGCCGCATGCACTAACAGTACCCCCCCCCCCCCCCCCCCCCCCCTCACTCACCACGACTCGCCCAGCGTCGCTCGACGCGCCGCCAGACGGCTGCTTTGGTAACTGAATCAGGATGCGTACGTTTCAACGCTACTAGAAACGTAAAAACCAACGAAAAAAAAAGAACTCTTTCTGTAGTAACGTTTATTAGAGTTTAGCACAAAATGAGGGGCGCGTGATGTTTTCTAAAATCTTTAGCTTGCAAGGTTTTGCGGCTCAATTAATATTGTTTTCATACAACCATTCCTCACCGGTGATTTCAGGTAGCGCTTCCCAACCTAAGCTCATCCTAACTTCGGTGGTATTTCGCGGCGCGTCCGCTGGGGAAATGGGGGTGGCACCCTTGTAACCCTTTTCACCGTATCTGTTTCGGCTCCGAAATGACCGATTGAAGCCAAAATAGATGTTTCGTGCAGTTCCTCGAGTGATCGCTGCAGGATAAATGGCGGCGTTGTGGTAGCCATTTGGCGCTTCAGCTGGGCTCTTTGGAACGCATAGTTATGAAACGAAAATATAGATGGCGCTTCGAACGACGGCTAACGGATTGAAGTGAGTGAGGGGGGGGGGGAAACCCCCCCTCTGCGGGAGTTCCACAACTGAGGTAATCTAATAACGTTGGCTGTACCCTACTGAAATAAGGTTTTTTTATTGGAGTTCCCAAGCGTGTCCAAAAAAAGTCACGCCTTTTAGCAGGATATTACTCGAAAACAGCCATTACCTTCGAGCAAAGATATGCCGTTTCGCGCAAACACAACTGCGACGGCCACCAATCGAATTAGGAGCGCTTGCAAAGCAAATATTGCAGATTTCGCGTCTGAAGCGGCAACTAAATAGTAAATACACGAAGCGGTATCTGGGTGCACATAACGGCGGATCCACTGGATCGCCCTCAGAGGCAATGACCGCGGGTCGAAGGCAACCGGCGAATCGTTCAAATGCATGTCGTCTCTTGACTTGGACGAGCTTGGTGAATCGTAGTCACGCTCTATTTGCACATGCGGGTCAAACAGAATTTGGCTGCACGCATGCTAAATACGACTTTTGGTATTGTTTCCAGGTGGTCTAGCTGTTGGTTTCGGTTTCCCTGCATAAGCAAATTGATTTAACCGATTTGGGCGAGGAGTGGATGGACGTAGTTTAATATCGTTGGCACAACCTTACAGCTCAGCTTATGAGCCTTCTGTCCGCTTAGAGCTCAGCTCGTAGCTGTCTTCTCTGAGATGATAGCTGCATAAGCGGGATCTCGATCTTGACGGGAACCCAGTACCTACGCACGGCGACGACCCAATTTTCTCGTCACTGCACGTCACGCGGAAAAGTGTGGAACGTCATGTCTTGGCTCGCATCTGCTGCTCGGTGGTTGTGGCACCCGATCTCGCAACAAAAATCTCACACAACCACGAAACAAGTGGAGCACAACAACTAAAACGGAGCACGCTGAGGCGTTCACTCGGAGATAAACGACGAGACAGAAATGCTCGCTCTGTGTTGTGTGACGTCAGGGCTTCCATGTTGCCACCAAAAACAGCGTTTACGCTAGAGTGCGATTCGAGCAGTATAAATTCAATTACTCATGCGGAATGGCATATAACATTCAGGTATTGCACATGCGATGGGTCTCGAGGAAATAACAATGATATTCGATTGTTTTCTCGAATACAAAATTTGACCGGACAACCCCTTGAAGTGGATAAGCTCTGCTATTTTTAGTTGATATAGAAATCAATAAATTGCTGACGAGTGCGTAACTTTTTTTATTTATTTTTGTTTTTATTTTAGGACACAGCCGGTCAAGAGAAATTCCAGGCCCTCACGCCTTCGGTTCTACGCAAAGCAAACGCGGTGGTGCTAAGTAAAAACAAAATGTTCTTACCTATTTTTATGTCACAGTCCTATCCCTAATCAACCAAAAACCAGGGCACAAAAATACAAAAAAAAAATTTTTTTTCCCGTACTAACATGCTTGGAAAAAGATACGGAACACCTAAGATCGCTAACGTGTAGGAATGCAAAAGCCTTCGTATACGTAGCGTACTCCTACAAACTCCGCGTCGCGCTGAGCCCTGCCGGGCGATCTTTGCGGAGGCTGCCCCGGCGGGCTCTGAAGAGCGGCCGGCCGAGCGTCAGGAAGAGGGCTTCTGGGTAAGGTGGCGTTTCTCGGAACTATGCATGACGCAGTGTCGCAGCCATTTTAACTGCCGTTTGGGAGAGAGTTTAGCCCGCGCGCCGGCGGCGTTTCTTGGAACACACGTCGCAGCCATTTAAACTGCCTTGTAGGAGGGAGTTTAGCACGTGCGCCACGCTCTCTTTTAACTGCCGTGTGGGAGGGAAATCAGGGGTCGTTTTTTAGCGGTCACAGCCGAAACCAGCTGAGCTCCATAGGACAGTTAATGCTTTCACATTAAAATAGAAGAGACCATAAAAATGTAAAGAAGTTTACAATTCTTTGTAATGCCGAATTAGAGCGCAACTCTTCATAAGGAGGAGGAGAGGGTGTGGAGGAAAGCGTATGCCCCTCCTCCTTCTCCGTACCCTCCCCTCCTTCTCGCCTGCTGCTCTCTCATTTAGCGGGAAAATATTCGGTAGATTTGTCTCCTAAATTTAGCGCGAAAAGTTTCCCACTAAGTTTAGCGGACAGTTCCGCGAAAATTTCCCCCGCTAAATTTAGCGTGGAAACTGAATTGGTGTTGAGGTTACGTAACGTCACTTTCCCCGCTAAATGAAGAGGGGAAACTTAACCCGCTGAATTTAGCGGGTTAAGTTTCCTCGCTAAACATAGCGGGTGAATTTTCTCGCAATATTTAACGCAAAAATCTCCCCGCTAAGTGTAGCGGGTGAATTTTCTCGCAATACTTAATGCAAAAATTTTCCCCCTAAATTTGGCAGAAAAATTTTCCCGCTAAATTTAGCCGAAAAATTTCCCCGCTAAATTTAGTTGGAAAATTCACCCGCTAACTTTAGCAGGAAAATTTCTGTGCTAAGTGTAGTGGGAAAATTCACCCACTAAATTTAGCCCAGAACTTTTCCCGCTAAATTTAGCTCTACATTTTCCCATAATGCAAAGCGCGTGATTACACCGACGCCGAAGCCGACGGCGACGCCGCTCAGCTCGGAAACGGGCGCCTAAGAGCTGCGGTCCAAAAACGCGCGTGCGTTGTACAACAGATTCCAAAGCGCCAGACATGTGGCCACGACTACGAGCAACGAAACGGGCCACTCGTCGTGCGACATGTCAGAACACAATTTTGTAAGATCATAAAATATGAGTTGCCCTGAGCTCAAGCGCCAGCGGCATCTAGAGCTCTTTGTTCTAACAAGCTGCAGTTTAAATGACATTTAATATCTGCTCGAAGTGTTTAACAGTTACCAATTCGTTGTATAGACATTTGCACGTTATTGAGTCAGAGGACACGAGGGCTGTGTGATTGTTTGGTGGGCTCTCGGATCCCATCACAAGCGTCGTGCACAAGCAATGGCGAACGCCAATGTTGCTTGATGGGGTTTAGATATGGGTCTAAAGTTCTGATGAGAAATGCGGTTTAAACACGCGAGCAGCTACCACTGAGTCTTTTCCACAAATGTGAACGCCATCTATTGGCAAATGGGGAAGTGTTCTTACTGGCCTTCTAATAAAGCTTTTATGAAAGTCTTTTTAACACGGTAATGACAGATTAACTACTCCCCCTTGAGCGCGAGCTTTCTGCTTTTGTTAAAGTATCGTCGCACACGCAGCCAAAACTTGGCAGAAAGCAACGAGCACGTGATAAAGGCAGATCATCTACTGGGTTTTTAGACTGTCACTGACTGTTGTACGACGCCTTTATCGTTGTTGCTACCCAAGCGAAACAAAAATTCGTTGTGTTTCAATTAAAACCCTCTCTGCCCCCGGCCCAACTTTATTACTGATTGTTTATGCCGTGCCGTACGCGCCATCAAAAGTGGTGGACAGCCGCACCTGTTCTACTACGCATGCGAAGCTCGGGAGAGGACGATTCTCACGAAGAAAAAACAAATAATTGAAATTGTCTCTGGCAACCTTGAACGTCTTAGTGGCATCACGAAGGAACAAGTTAGTTTGGTGTTCAATAATTGTATTTTCTTACATAAGTAATCTGAATCCGAAAAACATCCATGTTTCTTTTCTTGCCCTAGAAACTACTGCAAATGACAAAAACAATAACGCATCAGTTATGTCATAACGAAAACCTGTGCCGACGGATAAGACAATTTGTGGCCATGTGAACTTGCTCGTACCGAGCATTCCCTTTTTTGAACATTTAAAGCGGTCATTTACAACAAAGTGCACACTTTACGTTTATTTCAAACAGTGTATAGCCTCGTGGACCGTGCAACGTTCAGGCAATTAGACTACTTCCTCAACCAGGTCGCGGAGGTCGCTCCGTCAAACCTTATGGTGACGGCTGTGGTCGGCAACATGTTGGACAAGGTATGTATAACTATCAACCATTTTTTATTTTAAAAAAAATGAAAATAAATTCACTTGCAGCGACAAAAATCCCTCGAGGTACAATGTTCTCAAGGTGCGAAAATTGTATTGCGTAAACATTCGCCTTGTAGGTATGAAAATTATATTTTATTTTGTTTCCTGACATATACGTGCACCGCTGCCAAAAGGACAGCACCGATCGGTACAACAGAACAACCAGGACTCGAGACTGTTTGATGAAACTATTTCTTGGGTGGATTGCCACGTCGTGCGCGGCGAAAGTCTGTCCCGGTGGTTCCCTCGTTGACACAGCCATTTTGAAAAAGGCAAAAGATGGGTCAAAAACCCACCGGAATTCGCACAAAACTTAACAGCATGCAGAATTATTGCCAGCTATATCAGAAAAAACGATTGTATTTACTGCACACACATAACGCGCGCAAACGCGCGCGCGCGTTTGTGTGTGTGTCTGTGTATGTGTGTGTGTGTTTTAATAGAATAAGATTTGTCTCAAAAAAGCCGTGAGAACTACACAAATGCGGTCTGGCTGAGTGAGTTATACGGCCAGGCGGATATTCTTTTCAAGAGAAAATGCATCTAAAGGTAAGTGATTAGCAAAAGATCACGAATTACAAAAGACGCGAAAAGGCAATAATGGCGCCTTTTCGCGTCTCACTGTCGAACGCCAGCGCCTTCGCTAGTGCCGCTACGCACGGTTTTCGAGCGCCCCCTATGATTCCCACACGGAGTGCATACATACTGCATAAATTACACATAATAACATTTACCGAAAACATGATCTGCTCTTTTTGTTTCTGATTTGTGCTTCGCAAGTGTCACTTAAGTATTTTTCTACGTGGATTTAAAGTATTTTTGTGTCCATGTTACTTTACGTAGGTAAGTAGATCGACAGACTAACCATCGGGCTAACTATCGATGTATTCACAGTCATGCCGATCGCTTCTGCTCTCACTCACCGACGGGGTCCGGTGACGCCACACGTGCATTCATACATTCTTCTTGCCCTAAATGCTCCACGCATTCCTTATGCCATCTCTTTCTTATATATGTATCTTTCTAGGAGGAGGAACGGTGCGTGCAGAGAAGGGAAGGAGCAGTATATGCTCAAAAGCACGGCTTTCTGTTTTTGGAAGTGAGCTGTGTAACGACACATGGAGTGAACGACCTGTTTGAAGAAATCATCAGATGGCTCTTATGCTCACAGGTGGGACCAGTCTAACTTGTACATTATCATTGATAACCGAAGAGACAAATTTGTGGGGAATGCTGGCTTTCTGGTGAATAAAGTGATGGAAACTTAGGCTGTTGACGCTCGAACATAAAAGTATAAAATATTTTTATGTTCGAAAATGTCTGTTCGTGACACGCCTTTCCCCGGACACAATATGTGAAAGTGTATGTGAGCTCCTGGTTTTAGTTACGGAGGCAACCAGTTTTCAGTGCACCAGGCTACGAAGTGAGTTCTACAATTATGCATCTTTCTCCATTGCGGTGCATAATAACGAGCTAGATATCATCAGCGACCTTGAACTGGGGCCTGAGGGTTGTCATTTTCGGCCTGCCTACGGTCCGCTAAAGACCAGTATGCGTTTTAGTCAAGTGAATAATCAGCACAGCAATGACAATGATTAGAGCACACAAGTTATCAGTTACTACCAAAACGACCGTAGTATACGCGGAAAGGGCACGATATTTATGGAAAATCGCCTTATTTGCGATTACAACATTTATTGCATTACCGAAGCGTGGTGACATGACGATATTTTAAATGACGTGTATTTTCCATTCTAGTACGTAGTTTTCCGCGGAGATAGAAATACAAAAGTTCCAACCAAATTCTCGGGAATAAAAATTCAGGCCTCCGGAAATTCTTTCCGCAGACCTGATTTAGAAAGCTACCAAGAGTATGTGTGGATCGAAATTACTGTTGACGGAAGCCCGATATCATCTTGGGAGTTTACTATTTTCCCCATCAATGTGACTCTAATACTTTTAGTGCGACTATTGAACATACTTTGAACACGATAGACTTTTCAAATATACCGTGTTTTTATTACTGGCGATTTCAATCAGTCTCATAGGAACTGGAGCACTGGTATCATAAAGTCCAGTAACTCAGAGAAGCGCCGGAAAGCCCATTATCTGTCCCAACTCGTAAAATTCTTCGAATTACTCCAGAAAACTACTTTTGTGAACTGCAAGGCCAGGGTTCCACTGGTTCCGATAGACACCTGGCATGTTTCATTTGAAGTAACTTGGACGATATTTTATGATAGAGGCCAGCCGTGCTCGCGACCGATAGATTTTTCGTACTCGAAGGGGAGCTACTTAGGTTTCTACGAATTTCTGGCAAACGTAGATTGGTGAGTTATCACGTCGTCTAGTAGACGTAAACTCACAAGTATCAAAACTTACAGACATAGTCACAGCAGTGATGAAAATGGTAAATCAGGTGTCTAAATATGATACAACTCATCACTGTCAGCACTGGATTTCACACGGAGTTAAATGTGTCAAAAGGAAAAAGTTACGCTATCACAGACGATAAAAAAACGCAAAAAAATCTGTTGTGGTGCGAGAAGTTCCAATCCGAGCGCACTGTTTCGATGCGCCTATAACTTCGGTATTACGAAAACTACACCCGAAACATGGAATTGTGACTAAAGAAGTGAAGTGAAAGTTTATTGGGATTTTCACGGGCCAAGCCCGATAGGAAGGTAGTGGCAAAAATCCCCAAGCCTCTGGAAATACACCAGAAATGTTCTGAAGAAAAATAAAACGGCACAACAGAAAACACTTTTTTGGGGTTCCAAACACATTAAAAATCCGAGTGATATTTCCGAATATTTTGAAGGTTTTCTTCTCTTCTGTTTTTAATTACGGACCAAGGACGTCTCAAACCAGCTCCATGCGTGATCGTGCAAACGAGTTCTTATCAATTCCCTCGCTTAGCAATGGCGACGTTTTGGTGGCGATTTGGGCGCTGAAACGTCTAAAAATTCTTCTGGAACTGACGGAATTCCCTCTTTTATACTTAAAGGGTGCGCCGATCATTTTGCTCCGGTTTTGACCTCTATCTTTAATCGCTCTTTGAAAGACAGACTTGTTCCACCTTCTTGAAATCTCTCAACAGTTGTGCCAATTTTAAAAAGCGGGTAACCTTTGTCGGTCGCTCATTATCGTCCAATCTTATAGACCCTTTACTTTGCTAAGGTATTTGAGAAAGCCATGCACTGCCGTCTTATGCCGTTTTTTTTTTCTCTCATATAAGCGTACATCAACATGGCTTTATGCGAAACCGTTATGTAGAAACAAATTTGACCACATTTAAGGAATTCATCGGTTCCAAACTAGGGTCGTAACAACAGGTTGATGCCGTATATTCTGACTTCAAAAAAGCTTTTGACCTGGTGAGCCACCCATTCCTGGTTGTGAAACTCACAGTCTATGGTCTATCCTCAGCACTTTGCCACTGGTTTAAAAGTTACCTGTCTGATCGATGGAACTATGTTACTTACGGTGATACAAAGTCATCTGCGTACTGTTCGACATCGGGCGTTCCGCAGGGTTCAAACTTATTACCTTTTCTTTTAACATATTCTTGAGCGACAACAGCTGATGCATCAGTAACTCTCAAATTTCGAAATTCGTCGATGATATTAAACTTTTTTCAAACTATTTGTGCTATTTCTGATTGCGAAAATCTGCAGCAAGACATTAGAGCACTGCCAGGCTGGTGCAAAGACAATAATTTGGCTCTCAATCCGATTAAAATGAAGCTAATATATTTTTCAAGAAACCATTCCCGTATCACTTTCCAATATATCTTGGATAACTGCTTGGCTGAGCGAGTTTTAGTGGTGCGCGACCTGGGCGTACTTTTAGAAAGTGAAATAAAGTTTCCCATGGCATGGCGGAATTTTCAACCGAATGCATGCTACTACACCCTGGGAGCAACCACAAGAATAACACGCCACTTTAGACCTATTCCTGCTTTTTTTACATCTTAACCAGTCGCTTAGCTTGTCAACGTTGAACTTCGAGAGCGTTATATGGAACAGTTTAAACAAGACAGACACAACTGAACTCGTAACTATGCAGAAAAAGTTTGTTCGACTTCTCTATGATCGCTACTTTAACAGGCAGATTTACTTCAACCATGAGCATTTGTCAAATATTTTTAAACCCTCCTTACCTCTCCAAAAAAATGGCTGAAACGAGACTTTTTTTTTTTTTTTACAGAAATGTTTTTTTATAGTTTTATTGATTGCTCTGAACAATCCTCTTGTTTTATTGCCGTGCCAAACAGCACGCTTCACTCTCATCGCGTTTTTCACTGCTCTGAGTCAAAAAGCACACGGCCCTTAGAACGTATTCACTAAGCTTTTCACGCGTCAAAGTGAACACGCAAGAGGTGAATATCTTTTTTTTTTATCTGGAAGTTTTAGCACCCGAGCACTGCTCAAGCTATATTGATCGTAGTTTTCCATCATTTCTGTCTGAAACAATATTGGTATGGGGACAATCTAGGCTTCTGCAATGTATGTGTTGCACTGTCGGAGGTCACACTTTGTTGATATTACATATGTAAATGTTTCTTTTCTTTTTCTTTTTCAAGTTACGTTTTTGTTTTCGCGTCCTATATTTTGTGCTGCTTCAGCTCTTGCATGTATGCACTGGTGCATCGCCTGTAGGCCCACGGGCTGTTTAGGGGCACCTCGAAAGTACCAATTAAAGAAATAAATAAAATATTCGCACGACAAACTTGACTGCGGACGAGTTGCTGCAAAAAAAAATGGCGTCCAGTTTTTTTCATTTAGTAGATTATACATTTTTCTGGCTAAAAGGTAGGGAAAAAAATAAAAAGAAATCGTGAAATTGGCTTTGAAATATCCCCATATATTATGTTGTAAAATACAATTTGTTTATCTAAACCGCTCGTGAAAGCCGGATTACTGTTAGCAAGGTCTTAAAGGAATACGGAAATGAAAAGTGAAAGATACCTCTCCCATTCATAAATGTCCGAAACATGATCAACGAATTTGGTAATGGCAATCGCAAGTTTTTTTTTGTTTTTTTTTGAACGGACAACTTTATTTTTTGCTTCAAACGGCCAGCGAGCGCTCGACGAGCAGCCATCGAAGAGCGCAACGCGTCTCGACGGATCCAGCGTTACCAGCACGTCTGTGACGTCACGTTTCATTCTGGGCAAAGCTACAAGTAATCTACGTGGTTCTGAGCTTCGACACTTGGTGGCGTCAACGCGTTACAACCTGGCCGTTCGAGATGGCTGCCCCCCGCTCCCTGTAGGAGTCGTATAGGCGCAGGATAGAAGATGACAACAACACCACCTAAGCCCCAGCGCTCCTCTCCTGACGTCAACGATGGATACGATCGAGCCGGGCCGGGCGCCTCGGGGTAGCGCTGATCTGAAGGCATCGCATGTTAATGTACCGCAGTACATTACAAAACACATTTTTATTGATACAATTTAAAATAGCAGACGGGCCAGTAAACCAATTTAGTTGCACGGAAACCGATTGGACGACGCGAAACAGCGCTGAAATGTAATGATTGCGAGTGAACTTATATTCGTAGCTACAAATGTTTATTAACTCAGACATATTTCATTACCTAGAATGATAGCTATAGGAAAGGGTAGTTTTGGGTATAAAAAAAAATTGATGCGCATTATAAGGACAATACGTGTTCACCGATGCCTCAGAAAAGATGCGTTTGCTTTTAAGCAGTCTCCTTTAGGGATGTAAATATCACACGGAAAGACACCAACAACGATTCTCATAACATGGCACGATACCGAATGATACGACACGGCAAACATGTTTATAGAAACAATGCAATGAATGCAAAACGAAACGCTTAAGGAAAGAATTGCCCACAAAAGCAGTAACCTATGATAAAGGAATCTTGCCTGACTTTCCAGCTAAAAAGAAAAACGCAAATGTTACCTTATTTGAATGAATAAAAACCATGGCAGGGAAAGTAAAAACATTATTTGAAAAAAAAATGTATATGTACTTCGATCGTCCATGTTCATGATTTAAAAAATCAAACTAAACTAAATCTATCGAATTCGCCGCGGCTTTACGTATCAGACGCTTATAACGCTATTTTCCCATTTATATGCAAACATCATATTTTTAAGTCAAAAGTCTGCCTTTGCACCGCAACACAATAGTCAAC